GCGACGCAGAACACGGCAACCGGGCAATACACGGAGCATGGAATAGCACCCATACGGCACACGGACCTGCTGTCATGCATTAACACCCAGCTCACCAACAAGTGGCGTAGTACCATGCATCAGGACATCCACCACTACCTGCTTGGCGGCGCCAGGCCATCAGATCCAGGCGGCAAGCACATAATCACTCAGGAGGCCCTCGACCAACAGGAACGGACAAACACTGCACGGGAAGGGTGCGGGGACTCCGAGCTCTGGGGTCGCCTGTACTGGACTGTGAGAGACTGCACGAACCAACGCCGTTTCCGCAACATCTCACCGGAACACTCCGCTTTCATGCGCTCCAACGACGATCCCACCGCACCGGGACGGAAGCTGTTCCCCCGACGAAAAGAGAGGCCGACGCACCGCCTGTGGAGGGACGGCCCTCCACACAGCGTCGAAAGAAGAAACGCCCGCACTGTGACGCCACACTGGTGGGACACACGAGCCACATCGGTCACTGTCGGTGCTTTCATCCGGAACGCCCTCCACCGCTTCCCGACCTCCACCGCGATTGCTGCGACACAGTCCTCCCCACACAAAAAAAGCACCGCACAGAAATAGCCGCGCACAAAACCCAGACGCTACTCGGCACCGCAGCAGCAGTGCCAGGAGGCAATCACTGCTACCGCAGGATCAGCCAGCCTCCACAAGCGCAACAATTAGCCCGCAGAAAACACTGCACCAACTGCTTCCGGAATGTACAGACGCTCTGGCTGTGCGCCAACGGCTGGGCATTAAGAAGGACCTTCGCACCGAAAGCTTCTCCCAATGGCAGCTGCCTCATAGCAGAAAACTCATGTCGCTGCTCGTCCACCACCTCGGCACCCTGATGACATCGTGTGGCTAGACATGTCGGTAAGAGCAGGGAAAAATAATAATAATGAGCATTCCCGCCACTGTAGAGACGTGGTGCATCTTGCGATCCCGCTGGCGGCTCTCCTCTTCCACCGCTGTTTTTGCGCTAGAGGTCACCACAGTCATTTTTGTGGTTTGTTCGGCCTCGTGTTGCGCTCCGGGTTCTCCTCCTTCATCGCCCCGCGGTGCTTCCTTCGCCGTCCCTGGCACCTGTGACTGTCCCGTGACGGTTTGTTCCGAAGCCTGACTGCCCTGGGAGGTCCTCCCGCCACCAGCATGCACTCCACCCGCTGCCTGCTGAGACGCGTCGGAGCGTGGGGATGTTGTGCCTGCGGCGTGCCCTCCGCCCAAAGACTCCGGTCCACTTGCACGCATCCGAGCAGCAGACGCGCTGCCAGTGCCGGACGGATTGCTAGTGCCACTTCGCAGTGGGTCGCTGCTGGATTGATCCTGCCTCGTCGGAGCAGTGAGTGCTCCTCCCGAGGTGGGATTGGGGTCCTCACCCACGGTGTTTCCTCCACCCTCCTCGTCTTCCTAATTGCTATTGTCCTCAGAGTTCACATTCCCCCTTCGTCCAGAGCCACCGGCCACGGGTCCACCTTCCGCAGCCATCACAGCTTCCGCGTGCCCAGCAGTCACCGCGCCATCACCCGCGGCCGCACACGCACCCCGTCGCAGCGGCCCTCACTCACACGCACGAGCAGCTGCACATCACTGCAGGAGCCAACAGGACGCAGAGCACACGGCCAGTCATCATCACAAACAGTGGAGTCGCCTAACGCTGCGGAGCCTACCTGCGATAGCACGAGAAAAACAAAGAGATACACGGCCGCTACACCACGCACAGCCACCGCACAGCAACAAATGGCAGCACCCCAGCAGCAGCGCATACACCACGAGACAGATGGAATCAGTACGATTGCAGAGCTCGCACACCACACCGCAAACCACAAGTTTAAAAAGCAATAAAAAACAATAATTAAAAAACAATAACTAAAAAAAGAAAAACAAACCCAGGGCTCCAGTGCGCATGCTTATGAGTGTGTCCGCGATGCGTTCAACGTGACGGATGCGGGGCACAACGCGGAGCACACAGCACGGCAGCAGAAGCAAGTGAAGCAAAACAAGATCATTATTTTCTCTTATTTATACAGTGGACCACAACACACACGCACAAATCCCCGCGGTTGAGTGCTGGCACGCACAGCCCGCACACACCTCTTCAGCCCACAGTGGTGTACGCCAGCGCGGAGGCGGCGAGCACCAGCGGGGCACACACCCACGCAGAGCTGCTGAGGCTGCCGTCGATTCTGCGAAGACGTGACGGTGCGCTGGTGGTCGACACAGCTGGCGCCTCTGTAGTCGTAGTGCTTGGTGCCTCTGTTGTAGTTGTGGTCGTCGTGGTTGGTGGCTGTGTCGTGGTGGTCGTTGTCGTAGTCGGTGGCTGTGTTGTGGTCGTCGTTGTTGTAGTCGGTGGTTTTGTCGTGGTCGTCGTCGTGGTCGTATTGGAAGAAGCGACAGCTGCAGGCTGAGCCTCTGTCACGCACACGGACGAGCAGCAGCACAGGGCGAGCACCAGCAGGGCGCACAGCAGACGGCACGTCATCATCGTGAGTGTGGTCGTTCAGTGGTGTGGAGCTGATCTGCACAGTGAGGGACATGGAGAGCAACAGGGGAGACGAGAGGTGCGGCAGACACACACAGAGGGCACACCACATGAGGAGAGGGCAGCAGCCAGGCATGCACCGTACGCCGCACACCACGCACGACACACACTCCAATCCACGGCAACAGGCACACACACACACAGCCCTGCCGCAACAACAACACACAGATGGAGGAGGGAGAAGCAAACAGGAGCGGCACACAAGGCTCCACCGCATGCACACACGGCGAGAGCGGTCCGTCGTGCCGGCACCCCTCACGGAGGGTGCGCACACACAAGAAGGTGCAGCGCACACAGCAACACAACAGCAAAGTAACAATAAAAAAGGAGATCCCCGCACACCACGTGGATTGTTGGTCCACGGGAAGTGCAGCCAATATTCACCACAAGCAGTTCATTTGCACTGGGCCTTCGTCCACATTCGGCGCAGACCACTTCATGCAGGCCCGGTCACCACCGCAACAGGAGCTGCTGCACACGCAACAAGAAACAAGAAAGGGAGGTGGTGTGGGAGACTACGGTGCTGCTGTCACTGCCGCCATGCGAAGCTGTGTTTATGTTGCTAGTGGCGGTGGCGGTGTCCCTCTTGAACCCCTCGCTGTGGGCTGCGGGGTAACTTTTCCGGCTGATGTGCCTTCGGTTTTGTTGTTGCATTCTTCTTCTCCACTTCTTCTGTGGAGGGTCCGGCGTCCTCTCCGTTCAGGTGGCTCGCATTATGATTGGTCGTGGTGCTGCTGGCGGCGGCGTTAAACTCTGCAGCTGGAAGAAATGCGGTGCTGTGGTCAGCCTCGGCAGCAGGCGCTTTGTCTCCACGCCGGTACGTTTCTGTTTTCTCTGCAGCGACAGAAATTGGAGGCTGTTTGAAAATCTCCTGCACGGTGCATTCCTCTTTCCAGCCTAATGCAGCAAAGCCGCCATCTGAAAAGGACGATGACTGCGATGGCCTCTCGTAAATGGGAGATGGTGCATGCTGCACGGTGTCTTGGTGTGCTGCAACTTCTTCCCTTTCTGCCTCATCTCCACCAGCTGCTTCTAACGCAACTTTTCCTCCCGATTCTCCTTATGGTGCATCATCCGGTACTTGTGCGGAAGTTGTGTTTGAACCCGCATCGTGTTTTGGCGCTACCTTCGCCATTCTCTGGCCATGAAACTTCATGTCGGCTGTCAGACCCTTCTGCCCCTTGCGGCGGTTCCTGCCCCTGCTGTTTGTCTTATTTGTTCGCCCGGTACTGCGGCTGGTTTTGTTGGTTGTGATCCTCTTCGCCCCCCAATGGCAGGCTGTGTTGGGGGCTGGGCTCCTCCCTCTGTCCCACCGCCCCCGATGACTCAGTGACTTTCAACTTTTCATCCTGAGCGGATTCGTTTTCCCGACTGCCGGCGGCGCGACTGCCATCCGAAGAGGGCAATGCTCGCTCCCTTTGGGGCACGAGTTCCAGGCGCCCCACAGTGACAGGAGCCATCAGCATCTGAGCCTTGCCTTTTGAACCATTCACAATTGACTCCTCCCGCTGTCCAACACCACTCAATGCGTCGTGTGACTCCGACACATTCGTTTTCATTTCGGGCGGCAAATAACGCCATCCCGCTGATCCTCCACATACTGCCGGTGCCGCTGGTGGCGCGCCGCCTTGTCTTCTCCTCGTTCTAACGGCAGGCGATCTACGCGGCTGGTGACGCATCTCGTTGAGTGTTCATTGGATTGCAGCATACCCCCTATCCTCAGCGGTGTCAGCAGCAACGGCAATCCCTTGGCGCCTCCAACGACGATGGCCATCCAATTACGCACGCATTCCTCCACGGCGGACGCATTCGCCCTGCCTCCTGTCCTTCTGCTGCCATCCATCGCGCACTCCCTCCGCAGCTGAGCACGCCACCGCAGGAGCTAATACTCACACGTACCGCTATCGTCACCACAGCACGCAGAGGACACACACCAGCAGCACACGGCCAGTCATCATCGCCACCACTCCTGTCACTTGCCTGCAGCCTTCAGCAAAAACTAACACCACGTCAACAGAGTGAAAGACAAAAAGATAGACACGGCCGCTACACCACGCACAGCCACCGCACAGCAACAAATGGCAGCACCCCAGCAGCAGCGCACACACCACGAGACACATGGAATCAGTACGACTGCAGAGCTCGCACACCACACCGCAAACCACAAGTTTAAAAGCAATAAAAACAATAATTAAAAAGCAATAATTAAAAAAAGAAAAACAAACCCAGGGCTCCAGTGCGCATGCTTATGAGTGTGTCCGCGATGCGTTCAACGTGACGGATGCGGGGCACAATGCGGAGCACATAGCACGGCAGCGGAAGCAAGTGAAGCAAAACAAGATCATTATTCCTCTTATTTATTACAATGAACCACAACACACGCGCACAAATCCCCGCGGTTGAGTGCTGGCACGCACAGCCCGCACACACCTCTTCAGCCCAGAGCGGTGTACGCCAGCGCGGATGCGGCGAGCAGCAGCGGGGCACACACCCACGCAGAGCTGCTGAGGCTGCCGTCCATTTCGCGAAGACGTGACGGTGCGCGGGTGGTCGTCGTAGTGGCTGGCGCCTCTGTAGTCGTAGTACTTGGTGCCTGTGTTGTAGTGGTGGTGGTCGTGGTTGGCGCCTTTGTCGTGGTCGTAGTGGTCTCCTCGGTAGAAGTTTCAGACTCACTATTTGCCCGTTCCTCGGATAGTCCATTGTCACTGGGTGGACCTGTCGTATCCTTATTATCATCTGCCTGTAACTTATTGGGCACTCCATTTGGTCCCAGATCTTCCGTACTGGTAGATCCTGATCCCTCTCCGCCATCATCTCCCGGACTTGCAACGGACCCTGTTGTTGAAGGATCTGACTGACCGGGAACAGGTGGTGTTCCTGTTGCAGGGGTCGATTGACTGGTAACGCTTCTATTAGCTCCAGGATTAATTGATGTCGGTGTTGTGGTCGCTTTGGAAGAAGCGGCAGCTTCAGGCTCAGGCTCTGCCCCGCACACGGACGGGCAGCAGCACAGGGCAAGCACCAACAGGGCGCACAGCAGACGGCACGTCATCATCATCGTGAGTGTGGTCGTTCAGTGGTGTGGAGCTGATCTGCACAGTGAGGGACATGGAGAGCAACAGGGGAGACGAGAGGTGCGGCAGACACACACAGAGGGCACACCACATGAGGAGAGGGCAGCAGCCAGGCATGCACCGTACGCCGCACACCACGCACGACACACACTCCAATCCACGGCAGCAGGCACACACACACACAGCCCTGCCGCAACAACAACACACAGATGGAAGAGGGAGAAGCAAACAGGAGCGGCACACAAGGCTCCACCGCATGTGCATGCGGCGAGAGCGGTCCGTCGTGTCTGCACCCCTCACGGAGGGTGCGCACACACACAAGAAGCTGCAGCGCACACAGCAACACAAAAGCAAAGTAACAATAAAAAAGGAGATCCCCGCACACCACGCGGATTGTTGGTCCACGGGAAGTGCAGCCAATATTCACCACAAAGCAGCTTGTTATCCTGTTTTGGTTGTATGCTGCTACAATAACGAGTGAGTAGCGCAAGGGCCGTCCGTACAAAAGTGGCAAGTATTCCGTCGTGCGGGCTGGGGCAGTCACAAACAGTCGCAGTCCAGTTCCCAACGACGAGGGCATTCCCGCAGTGGATGAGGCGGAGTCTCCCGTGGTCCGTCGGGGATCAGCAGCCCGTGGCGTCCGTGATGAGGCGGTGGCGGAAGAGCCTGGTCCATCTCGAGTACCCGCGGTTGTGCTTCCTGCGTGTCTTGCCTGCTGGCATGCTTGGCAACTTCGGTGGCGGCCTGCGCGCGAGGCGCCTGTTAAGAAGACGGTGGCGCCATTGCGGCATCCGCATGGGAGGCCCTCGCAAACTATTATAACGCCAGGCTGAGCACGTCCGGCATGTGCCCTCATACTGTGGACGGACAAGCGCACTCTGCCGCAGGTTGGGCAGGAGGACGTCAATCCACCGCTCGCTGGTCGACAAGGAGTCGCGGTGCTCACGTCGGGAAGAGGTTCCGGCGGAGGCAGAGGCGGGCTGGTCACCGCAGTGAGGGAGGGACGGCACCACCGACACAGAGGGTTCCTTGTGATCCGCAGGGCGCGTGCAGGCCTGTCGAAGAGTGGGCAGGCGTCGCATCGCGCCTGTGCGCAGTGCCGCCACTCGGGGACCGATGTCCGGGCCAACACCAGGAATAGAGTCCTCGCCACACCGACAGGCGCCTGTCACGCGGTGTGTGCGCCCTCCTTTTCCTCCTGGGCATCCTTCCAGTGCCGTCGCTTCACTGCAGTGAGGAAGTCCACGTGCCAGGCATTGACGCAGTCCTGCGGGAGGGATCGTGCAATCGCGGCTTGTTTGTCAGCGGCCTCACCGCGTGGAATACCGCAGTGTGATGGGAAAATATAAAATCCACAGGGTGACCTCGCTTCACCAAGGAAAGCAGCATAATCCAAATTTACTCAGCAACGCGGTCTCGCACGGTCGGTGGGCAACGCGGGGTGCCTCAATTGCCGAGAGGGAGTCCGTTTCCTCCAGCATTCGTGTGGGCGATTGGGATGTTCCCGGACAAGGAGGTATGAGATGTCTAAAAACATTTTCGATCGCAAGGCAGTCTGCCCTATATGAGCATGCGAGGCTGCCAGCTGCTGCACGATGTACCTCCACAGGGAGATCATTTGTCGTGGTGGAGTCATATAATAGCGCAGCGGATCCAGATGCGAGTGCAGCGAGATATGAAGGACCGTCCGCCCACAATTCAAAGTCACAATCCCCCAAAGAGGAGTGAGTAGAATAAAAAGCCGTGCGCCCGACATCGTCAGAGGCGTCTTCGGCAAACAGTGGCTGATAAAATCTCACGTTGTAGCGGATCACTGTATCCAGGGAAAAATTCGATGTTGGGCAAGAGGCGCGCGAATGTGGTTGTGGGGTGTCCCAATAATGTCACAGACGCGTAGCAATCCATTAATAACAGCATCTCTCGGAAGCGGATTGATGTCGCCGCTTTCCCATGCATGGACGAAGGCATAGGTTGCGAGTAGATAAGGGAACGCAAATCCTCGTGATCATGGAGGCGTATATAGCGTTCGTATTGTGTGAGTGCAAGACGCCAGAGTACCTTCCGGAGCGGAAGAATATTGGCCTCCAAATAGACAGATGTGTCTTCTGTAGAGGCGCTCAGGCCAAGAATGTTTTGCTACCGTCGCGGTACCGTACTTCCATATTATGGAGGTAAGTGGGGGCGAGTCACGGGACAATTGCCTCGCCACAATGAAATAGCACACTATGAACGTATCCAATCAAAAAGGATCGCATGGTGTGATGGGACGCGTCCGCCTCTACGACCAGACGCAGCTGATAGCGGCGTGGCATTGTCCTCTTTGCAGCGGTGGAAGCATGCGTAACAGAATTAAGAAGTCCATAGAACGTGTTGCCCAGCAAGCGCACTGGGCGTGGCTGAATACGCAGGTTCCCGCTAACAAGATGGAGATCGACCATGTCCTCGTCAGACCGTGTGTGTGTGAAGAGATGTGGAATAGAGCAGCTTCGCTCTTAGCGACGTTGATTGTTGGGCTGTGCTCGGCAGCCCATGTGGCCACAAAAGAGACAAGAGCGGTCGCATTGCCGCAGCACAGGCATGGATGTCCGCACCTGAAGCAACAAGTGTGTGTTCGTCAGCGTACATGAAAGCGGAGGCAGAATAGATGCTGCCCAGGCGGCGCAGCAGATCATCCACACAGTAGAGGAAGAGTTGGGGTCGCGGGACGCCGCCTTGCGGTGCTCCAGCTGAGGCGAGTTGTTTCCGGGAGTGCTGTTCACGAGTGCATACCCTAACATAGCGGCCCCGCAGGTAGTTGTGCAGCCAGCGTTTGGTTCGAGGCCAAGGCGCGGAAGTCTGTCAAGCATGCAGAATAACTTCCCATGGTCAGTGGTGTCGAACGCAGTCGGAAAATCAATCAAAACTACGTGCGATGGCGACGAGGGCGTCGTGTGGGGGCGTCGTCTCCAGGGCGCTCATGCTCCACAATGCCAAACTCATTCAATCCACGAGTAATTTGTCGATAACAAGTGCCACCACGTCCGACGTAGAACGCGGAGGTGCAAATCCAAAATTGACGTGGGTGGTGCGGCAATAACGCTGACAGACGGCGGTGAACCATTCCTTCGGTTAACTTTGGTAAAACAGAGAGCAGCGTGATGGGTCTGTAACTCTCTGGGCGGCATGGGTCCTTCCCAGGCTTGGGGATAGAAATAGCATCTCCCATTTTCCAGGAGCCAGGGAGGCTGCCGTTTGCGAAGGAGTTGTGGATCATCGTTCTAAGTGTGCCACGCGCAACGGGCCCGAGACGGTGCAGGAATTCATTCAACATGTCGCCGGGGCCAGGGGCTGAGCCAAGCAAAGAGTCGCGGATGGTCACGTCAATTTCATACGGCGGGAAAGGCCGATCCATTTCCCAGCCACCAGGAACCAAAGGAGTGCAGCGAGCAGCAGCAGCAGTGTAAGGCGGTATGGCACGTGAAACCGCACAAAATGACGGACAAGCAGATTTGCCTGTTGCCGAGGCAGGGCGCATACGCGGCCAAGTTCAGTGCGGAGCACAACCGATTCCAGAGGATGAGGATGCAGCGCCGCCACGCCGTGAAGATATCGCCAGCTTGGGCTGGGTGAGGCTCCAAGTCTTTTCGCGCGGGCTTCCAGAAGCACAGCGGAGCAACGGCGTAAGGCTTGATTTCGTTCCTCCTTTTTTCGGGTACATTCGGCTCAAAGTAGGCTGTCTCCGGGTGAGGCAATGTGTGTGCTTCGTGTGCTGCCTCGGCGGCGGACTCGGCCTGTTCCATTTCGTGTGCCCATATCTTTTTTGGAGCTGTCACGGCTGCCGCGCGGGATATGGCGCTCAGCTGCTCGTAAGATGCCTCCGCGAGGATCCAACCATG